TTGGCCTGTCTGCAGCTCAGACTGTCCTCAGGCTCCCCTAAGGGAAGTATCAGGCTTCTTGTTTTGAGGATTATTCTGAGAGGAAGAGTACTTACTGCTATTGTGGACCAGTTTTCACTCCCTGCCCCTGAAACACTGACAAGAGCAAGGCAGGAATTACTCTCTAGCACGCTCCCTCTATCACCCCACCGGGAGGATCATGGCTGGAGGCACGATGAGTTCCCCAGTTTGACTGTCTTTGAGGAAAGGGTCTGCACGAGCCGGACAATTTTGGGAACCCAGAGGGAGTGTAGGGCAATACCCTGTGGGGCGATTTATGCCTAATCTCTTCCCCTTACATGTGCCTTTTACAGGAACCCCTTTGATTGGAACAATGGGAACTCAGCAGACCTATTTGTGCAGTGAAAATGGAAGAAGCCCCCTTGTTGGGCAGCTTCCCTACACCCGGCTCTCCTTTGTTTCTGCTGCTGTCTCAGCCCCAGGGCGGGAGGGTTTTCAACTGTGTTGACTAAGATAATTTGGCACTTCTCAAAAGGGAATTTGCTACAAAGGGCGAAGTACCTCCCTGCGCACAAAGAGCCCCTTTCAGAGCGGAAGGATGCTTCAGTGAACGTTTTGTACCCACAAATCCGACCTCCGCCAAGGACAAAGCCAGGGACAAGAACGCTTAATTGCCGAAGAAATGAAAAGGTAAAAAGCACATCCTCGGGCAAAATGACTCTGCTACTGACACAGCCCGCAGCGGCGGCGGGATCTGGCTGTGCAGGCAGCCGGCACCGAGGCAGCTGCTCGCTCCCGAGCTGCCCGGCAGGAGCTGCACACACGGGGGACAGGGCTGGGGACCCGCGGCACGGCGGGACGGCTCCGGGGACACCGCGATGCTCCTCTCGGCCAGAGCGGGGCGGGAGGCTCGGGGCAGCCCCGCAGACCTCTGTGCTGTGCAGCCCAGCACCCCCGTGCTCTCCCCAAACCAACGTGTCCGGGCTACATTGGGGCTCCCCAATGACAGGGCCAGCCCCACCTACAGCCTCCTGACAAACTCCGCTCAAGCCCAGCTGAGATTCCTTTCCCTTTAACACTTTTAAAATCTAGGGCAGCCACACCACATCACCTTGGAGCTCCTTCACCCTCTGTCTGCTGGTATCTCTGGCCAGGCGTCACATCACTGCTATACAATTAATTCTTAAATGATTTTTAATCAGGTGTAGACCTTTAGTTTTACAAGTAGCTTCCTATTGCTTTTCTCACTGCCTGGTTTAACCAGTAAATAATATGTAGTGTTGTTTCTTGTTTCCTTATTTCTCAGGGGCCAGGAGCCAGTCATATCAGGTGCTGCACAAACCCACTGATTTGCAGCCAACTCAGCCTTTATGCTACACTTGATATTTCTTTTGTTGCCTTCCTTTATCTCTTATCGCAGATGCCAGATTTGCTTTGCTTACAGCCTCAGACCAGGGGAAATCCAGCAGCAAGTTCCAGCCTGGATCTGCCCCCTGTCCCAGGCCCGCAGTAACATTTGGGGAGTTTGCTGATGTTGCTCTTGGGCTGCTCTCTCAAGAGTGGCTCCCTCCTGCAAAAGAGCACCCACCAAGCCCACCAGAGCTGGACTGGGTGCCCTGGACCCTCCATAAAACACTGCTGGCTTGCTCTGCCTCACCCCGTCAGCCCTGAGATGCTCCAACACACCATTCCTGCCATCACAGTTATTCCTATGCACAACTACTGAAACTCTTGTGTCAGTTCACACAGATTTAATCACTCTGAACATTTACCTTTGTAGCATGACAGTACTGCGGCTGTTTTCTGTTTACCAGAAGAGCACCGTAACTGATTTGTATCAGCTGGAAAGAATCCAAAGTTCTATTAACAATGTTCAGGGCCAATATTTTGAAATCCAGTCAGTTTATAAAAACATATTTTTCATTTATAGCTCTTGACTTCATAAATAAATGAACCATTAAGTGATGTGATGAGCTGTACCTTGTCTCCACAAGGGACACAAGCTTTTCCAAGTATTGTTACCCAAATATGAATAGCCACTTAACTCAGTGCTCCATCCTGCCACATTTCTGCTCACATCAAAGTATGACACATCCAACCTGCAAAAGTGCTTCTTAAATCCCTGCTGTACACCTGTCTGCTGTTTCTGAACCCGCCTGCCTTCCCAAACATCACCAACAAACCTCCAAAGGAGCAGGTACCTTCTCTTGCTAGAGTCAAGTCACAGTTTGGAAAGAAAACTGCCTTTCAACTTTTCCATCCTGCCTTTTCAACTTCTAGCCAAATAGGCTGAAGAAGGAGCAAAATATTCTCACTACATCTGTTGTTTATGCTGAGGACAGTATAATTTGGGCAAAACTTTGCTGGCCTGTGTCATTGCTAAGACAGTGTAAACACAAGTACTTGCTCCTTTGGTAATGGCTGGAAATACTGGATCCTGACTGAGGTACAGGATTTCGGACACATTCATAAGGCTAAGACCCAAAAATAAAGCATGTGTTCCCTACATCCTTCCTACAATAATAAGAACACTTTCTATCTCAAAAAATTTACTGCAAAACTTATTTGTTTGATTTTTCTAACCTATTTTAGTATTGAAGTGCAGCTCTAAGGCTCAGCACAGATTACAAAAAATCCCATTCAGTTCTAAACCAAGGAAATATGTTATTTGATTTAAACAAAGTCATTAAATTTTAAAAAGTCCAAGTTATGTAATTGCTTAATGGTTTTGATTGTCTATCTGCTCTGCTCTGTCATTTCTATTTTTCTCCTCACAGCCCCCTTCATTCTACCCACATCTGTAGGGCATTACCCGTAGTGTAACCAATACTCCAGCTGTGGCTGCCCTGCTGCCATAGAGACAGGACGGATCAGTGCTGCAACAGGAACCATCTGTATGTGTGACCCAAAATCACTCTGGAGTTTTTTTTTAACCACCATGCTGCTGTGCTTGTGCTCTCTGCTTTAGTTCAAACAGCTGGGCATGACTACTCTCAGTTGTCTCCTGCATGCACCAGAAACAGAGGATTTCATCCCAAAACGCAGCCAGCAGACACATGCCAACACCTACTGCTTCCTCCCTGCCATGGGAGCTGTGCCCCAGTACCCTGAGGGATGCAGGGTGCACCCACAAACTGCCAGAGGAATCCATTCTTCAACTTCCTCCTTGCTGCTAACCTCCACCCTCCAAGCCTCGCCTGCACCCTTCTCGCATGTTTGTCTTTCTGCAAGAAGCAAAGGTCCCGGGGACAGAGGCGGCGCTGTGAAAGTGCCGTGTGTGATCCTTGGCTGGCCGCACAACGCTCCCCATTCACAGCCATTCACAAACCGCGCCTCACAGCAGCTCACACGCTCTCCCGTGGATTTCACATGTCAGATAAAAAGGAGCCTGAGACTTCACTGCAGTCCCGTGGTGAGGGTATGCACAACTTTCTAGCAGACAGCTTGTCCCTATCCTTGGTCCCTGCCACAGGGCTGCAACACCTTCCTGGATTTCAAGGGTAAATCCCTACTCCTGCAGCTGGAGTCTGAGGTCACTCTGCCTGACATTTGTCTGGCAATTGAACCAGCATGTACATCAATAGTTGAAGTTTCGGTAGCAAAGTACAGCACCAACACAACATTACCAGCAGTACAGCACATCATCCCCAGCAGTTCTCTTTCATCGGCTCAGTCCACACTCTACTCAAAACCATCACCAGGCTTGTCTGGCGGAACTTGGCTGGATGCAGCCTGTGCCCTCTCTTGCCCCTTGACCAAGCATTCGGTGGCAGATTCCCTCCTCACACTTGTGCCCTGGAGTTCCTGCTGGAATGGAGTTTAGTGCATCCAACAGGAGCTGCCAGCATGACTCCTCCAGAGATCAGACCCTGTTTTGGCATTAATCTGCAATACGGTGTATCCCCATCACTTTGCACCTCCTCTCCCAGTCTGACTGACACTGGAGATCAAATCTGCTGCTTTCTGTATTGCTGCGTATCGCCAGCGAGGACTGAGCTCCTTGAACTGTCCTGCTCAAAATCCTCCTATCACCACTTTTTTCAATCATTCATTTCACCTACTTTTAGCAGCAGCATTCTTTCAAAGAGTACTTTTTAAACACAGCTCTACTCCTGAATGACTTTTCCTCCAGAGAACAACTCCAGGATGGAAAACAACTTCTTTTAACCATCCAATAGTCTTCCCCGCTACCCGCCCTCCCCGGTTGTTTCTTTTCCATTCCTGTCATCCCCATCAGGTCCCACCAGTTGGTTCCCAGTCTGACCAGTCCCTCATCGCCTGCCACGATCCGCTCCTCCGAGGAGCGAGAGGCGCATCCCGGGACATCCCCTCCTCCCGGCCCAGGGGCTCCAAGGCCGCCTGTCCCGGGGGACACTGCCAGGGCCAGGTTGCCGGGACGAGAAGGGAGCATGGCCGCTCCGGAACCTGCCCAGGAGCGTTTCGGAGGGGAAGGGAGAGGAGATGGTGGCTGAAATCTATCGTGTTTCTGGTAGAAGAGATTTGGCATTCCTGGCAGGGCACCAGCTGCTAATTTGACTGCAGCGGACCCCTCTCCCCCACCTGGGATGTTTGCCGCCGGAGGCAACCAATCTTCCCGGGCACTGTGTCACGGCACTCGGCCCCGAACTCAGGAAGCCTAAAGCATCCCCCTTCCTTCAGCCTCTGTGCAAGTGCAAAGACCTGAGGCTTCCCGAGAATCCCGCAGGCCAGGAATGGGCTCCATCCCTCAGCGAGTGAGGAAACAGCCATCGATAAGGGGAATGGGGGGGCCCTGCTTCTCCCGGCTGCTGCTTCTCTGCCCGGAGCTCTGGGCGGCCGAGCCGCGGGACACGTGTTGGATGCTGCTCCCGTCCGACATGCACAGCTGCCTCCGAGGGAGGGAGCCCCAGGTGCCCGGCTCCCCCCTCAGCTCTCCCGGGCACGGGAGGGGTGCAGAGGCTGAGGAAGAGCTCGCCTCGGCACCCTCCCACCTCTCCGTATTTCCCCAAAGATCGCCCTACCTCCGCCAGCTTGGAGCTCCTCTCCTTCGGGGTATTGCCGCGCGGTTTCCCCCTCACGGGCAGCCCTCTCACCGCAGCCAGGAAAGTTGTCAGGAAGACGAATCCGAGGATGAGCAGGACTTTCCCTCTAATCAGAGGCATCTCTCCCTTCCTCTCTCCCCACCTCGCACGTCCAGGGCAGGCGGTCTGGCAGCACGCCCGCCCTTAATGCTCCAAATCCTGTCCTCCGAGAGGAGCAGTAAAAACGTAGAATATATGTATCTTATATAAGCCACCGGAGCCGGGAACTGCGGTGTCCCGCAGGCAGGGGCCGGGCAGGGTCCGCCGGCCCGGGCCACTCCGCTCCCTCTGATCGCTCTTGCAGTTTGCCGAGCACCTTCCGCTGTCGCGGCTCCCGCGGGTCGCCTGCCAGTACTGATGCTGAAGGGTAACTCTGAAAAGCTTCACAAATGTGTGCGGGGAGGGAGGGAGGGAGGGAGAGAGCTTCGGCTCCCCACCCCACTTCCTAATCCTTTCGGCAATCCGATTTCTTTTCCTCCTCTTCTCCTCCCCTCTCCGAGTCACTCCCCGGTGCTGCCGCCGCTCTGCAGGCAGCGCCGGGCACCGGCGGGCGGACGGGAGGCCGCTCGGCGGGGAGAGGCTCCCGCTCGCATGAAGCGCGGACCGGCCCCTCCCGGGCGCCCGCCGGCGCTGCCTGCCCCGGGCACGGCCCCGCCGCGCCCCTGCCCCGCTCGGAGGCTGCCGGCACTGCCAGACCTCCCCCCTCTCCCTGCGGGCGCTGCCCCCTCCGGGGCGCCACCGCCCGCCCCGCTCCTCCCCTCCCGGCAGCTGCATGGCCGGGCCCGCGGCCGCCGCCCCTCGCCCGGCGGTGCCCGCGGCACGCTGTCCCCGCGGCGGGCCCGGCCGGCCCGGGGCTCTTTGTTCCGCGCCTCGGCGGCGCCGGCCTCGCGCGAGCCCCGCGGCACCGGGCGCTTCCCGCGGGGCAGCCCCGCCAACGCTGCGCCCTCCCGGCGGGGCGGGGCGGCCGCGGGCCCGGCGGCTCCGGCCCGGCCGCACGAGGCGGGGAGGATGGAGCGCCCGGCACCGAGGGGCGGGAGCGGGACGCGGCCGGGCAGGGGGCTCACAGCCTTCCCCCGCGCCCCCGGGGGAACGGGCTTGCAAAAGCCGCCCCTTTTCCCCCTTCTCCGAGCGCCAGGGCTGGGGCCACTCTGCGGGAAGGGGGGACGGGGCCCCCGCTCCGGAGCCGGCCCGTGACGGGCAGAAACGGGGCTCTGTGCTCCCCGGTGAAAGCCTCGGCTGTTCCCGAATTGCGGGAGAAAGTTTCTACCACTCCAAAGAAGTCTTTCTTTCATGATCTGCTGTCTTCTGCCCCGGCAGCATCTTATCCAGCCCTCAAAACCTGTTGGAAACATGGAGTGGCTGTTTATTTGGGGTGTAAAGAGTATCTTTTCCAGCATTTCCACAGGCGTTCATAAGCCTATGAAGGAAATTAGGGAAAGGATTACAAAAAAATCATTAGGGAATCACACTGAAAGGAGGTTTTGCAGCCTACTGAGGAGAAGTGCCAGTGCTGGCACGGTCCCAGAAAGGGAGACCTAGAAGGGAAAACCCAACATTTCTACAGCAGTCTCAGCACAAAGCTGCAAATCACCTGGGCCCATTTGTGTACCCACAGCTAAAATCAGGACCTGCACCTCCTTTTCAAATACTGGCATCTGGTTTATGCAGACTCAGGGCTGAGATGAATGGAAGGAAATGTTTAAAACAAGACACAAACTGCAAGACAGATGTGAGGTCAAGAATCCCACGCGAGATGGATCAAGAAGCCCTTTGAAACATCTCATTAGCAGCACTGCAGCTGAGAGCAGCCTGACACTCTTAACAGCACCCAAGGGTAGCAGCCTAGCTTTCAAGCACAGCAGCTTTCTGGGGCCAGCACCGAGCTAGAGCAGGCACTCATCGTGGGAGTGCTGCACATCGGGAACAGCAGCTACGACTGCAGGCGTCTTTCCACAACAGAAGCGGCTTTTCTAGACTGCACATCAAAGCTCCTGCTGTACGATGGACCAGAGACTGCCAAAAGCCAGCTAAGCACCCATCTCTCATGCAAGGTTTCCTGGCTCTAGAGTACAAGGCTAGAGGGGAACAACGATCTGAGCTCTCAAACAGGCAATGGTGTTACCCAGTCATTCCAGTATAAAACTCATGTGTTGATTTTTTTTGAGGTTTTTATTTTGGTGGTGGGAGGGAAAAGCACTGGAAAAGAAGAGAGAGTTCAGTCTCTTTAATAGGGAAAAGCCTCATTAAGAAAAAAAGTGCCAAAATCATGATATAGTGTTTTTTTAAAGTCTTTATTATGCAGAACATAGAATATATTTGAATGATTTTTTCCCCAAGCATTTTTTTCTCCAGTGTTTTTTTTTTTAAACATGCATTGTTACCTTTTTAAAGCCAATGTACCATCCATTTATCTTTTTCCCTGCCCACAAAGCATCCATATTCATGTTAATCACAAGTGTAAAAAAAATTAGACATCTGGCATAAAATATTTTTGGGGAGGGCCCATTTAAAAATTTTATCTAAAATGTCTTATCTACAAAAAAATCCAATATATATGTACATTATAGCAACACAGAGGCATAAGAATACAGTGCAATTTAAGATGAAGTGCTGTGACTTGGTAATTCTGCCCAGGGCTTGTGGAAATGTGGGCCACCATTGGCTTTGGGGCTGCTTGCCTAAAGCCTCAGGCTCCAGCATTCCTCAGTTCCCTCTCAAGTGGGTCTGAGGTGAATATTGGGAGGCTAGAGATGCATTAAGCTTAATAAACCATTAGGGGGTAGCAGAAATACTGCCTGAATAGCATGAGCTTTGGCAAAAAAAAATAAAAAAGAATGTTAGAAAGGTCAGATGGCTTGGTGCATGTTTCACCTCACTGGGGGTATTTCTGGAATGGCACCAAGCCTTGGAATATTCACTTGAGACCTGTTCACCTACTGCTGAGGAAATGAATTTGCTAGCTGCCACTGGTTCTGAAGTCCCTGACTGTCTCAGTAAGTCTCCCACTCTGAGCAGCCCAGGAACAAGTTCCTGATGGGAGCACACAGAACTATGTAAGCTGCACAGGAACATCGGTGCAGAGAACTGCACCGCTTTGGCTCCCATGTACAGACATCCCCTTCAACAGCTGCTAGCCAGGATCACACACAAACTGAGTTTTGAACCCCTCCCTCCTGAGAAAACAGCAGTACACACTGCTTAACTAAGAGCACCGAGTGTTCTTCCGTGGGGTAAAATCCACTGCACTCTTCAAGGTCAGGCTTAATTTTAATTCTTCATACCAAGAATCACAGTTTAAGGCCTTCAACACACACCACAGTCATCATCTGCTTCACCCAGCCCCATTTGGGGATATAAACACAACAGCTCCAATGTCTGCAACAAATGCTTCTTTTTTCAGTGAAAGGTAAAGCACAATACTTCACACAAACACTTGAGGTTTGTGCTCTAATATTACGTCTGAATCCTTGAACAGGTGAACAACTGCAAGGCTGGGAATGTTTACAGGAATACAAAGCCATCAGAATGGCATTGGAGATTTTTTTCTTCTTTTAAAACCATGTTCAGGTTATTCAGGTCAAATGACTTGCTTTTCCCAAATAGTGGTCCAGTGCCACCTGGGTGTCAGGCCCAGCACCAAAGCCACCAATGCACCTGCCAGGGGGTCATACTAAGCACTCCTGAACAGCTCTGCACTTCACTAGTGCTAAAATAGAACAGACTGCAGGTGCCTCAAATCTCCATGCAGAAGGTGCCATGCACACAGATCCCAGCATACTTGACACTTTCATAGGCTGAATATAAAGTGTAAAAATAATATATTTAAACTGCATACATTCTGACTGAGCATTGGATATTGGGATACATTTCCACAAGTTTCCTTCTCTGTGATGCAGCAAGGGGGGTCATGCATAGTGCTCCAGATCCAGTGCTGCAAGGTGTTCTCTTAGATGAAATGAAGAGTCATGTTCATGCTTTCTTCCAACCTCTCCTATGACCTCCCTGAATGGGTAACATGGCTTCTGAACAAGCAAACAGCTGTAGGTCAATGCTTTTCAGAGGAAAACGAATCAAAATTTGCACAGAAGGAGAAGAAGTACTTACTTGGTGTGGAAAAGTTTTAGAGAAGTGTACATTCAGGCACTGAAAACTGCACTCCTGATTTAGGGATACTTGTTCAAGTACACATGAAAGATCCCTGTACAGCTGAAAATAAGCAATGATTGGCTACCCCTTTTCTCCATCTCTGCAGTATCAGTCCATCATCCACACAGCACAGAATTGCTGATTTTATGGGCACATTTCCCTTGCCTACTCTTTGTGAAGGTGCAGCTCTGATAGTGAGTATCACATCTGCACTCTAAGAGGAAACAGCAAGAGGAGGATGGGTAATGCAATCCCTTCAGATGTTTGGTCAACTCGCTCCTGAGTCTTTACCTAAAGAAGAAGCATACTGCTACACCCATAACTCAAGAACCAGAACTGTTCATTAAGGATGCTACTTAGAAGGGAAAAGATTGAGCAACTAGAGAGTTAAATAAACCATATACATACTATACAAAAATTTGTGTCGTGTAAAAAACAAAAGTGAAGGCCCTGAATATTCTGGGACACAAAAAAATGGTTTCTTCTTTGCCAAAGAACTAAAGGAAAACTATGAATCAGGTTCCTTAAGACAAAGATCTACTTGGGAAACCCAGTTTCTAACAAGAAGCAGATCTCCCACTCTTTGCTGATGCTCGGTAATAGCAGCTTCTCAATTTTCTTACAAGTGAAAGAATATGGCCATTAGCCTTAAAAACAGTAATGGTTCTAAACTCTTCACTCTGCTCAAGAGAGGCAAAACTTGCTTGCTTAGTTCTTCAGAGAGGTACTGGGAAGGTAACTATTGTATATTTATGAGTAAGTTTAGCCAATATACAGTACTGAGCAAAATCCTTTGTTCAAAAGCAGCCTTCATTTTCTTTTCAATTTTGCATCTCTTAAGAAATACCAGGAGTCATTTTCAATTAGAATGTCTCTGAAAAGTTGGCAGGGACTGAAGTTTTATTTCTTAAGCAGCTTTTCTTCCTTTGTGATCTCTCAAGATTGGTTCTTTCATTCATTTCTACTGCCAGGAGAAAAAGGAGACAGATTTCTGGTCAGTACATAAATATCAAAGCAGCAATCCATCCTACACATACTGTGACAGCATACATGCTGTAGGTTTGCCTAACACAAACCCTTATTGGAGCTTTTTCAGTAGATGCAAAAAGGTTTTCTTGGCTTTCAAGCTCAGTGAATTACTGAATTAAAAGTGTGAAATCTTGGGCTTAACGCCTACTTTTTCAGAAGCAGTTTCAAGAGGTTTCATAGTTTTTACCAAACTTTGGCAAAACAGCTTCTCTTGAACAAAAGGCCTCAGAGAGGGGTGGGGGGGTTTGCTTTCCAAAAAGGATATGGCAAGGCTGAAATGTAACCAAGTACTTTGCAAATGCTAACTGCCAGAATTATTTCTGAAGTGCCTTTGCAACTCAAAATTCAAAGTTATATGCAGACAGTGTGACACAGCAGACAGATACTAAAAGGCAGAAGCTTGAACATAATTTCCTCAACAAGTGCAACTAGAAACCAAATGGACACTAGTAATTTTGGAACACTATTTCAGAAGTATTACACAGGATTTATCTATATTGTGAAGATTTTTCCAGATATTTTTCTCCCTTCCAAAGAAAAGCTGCTCTAAAACTGATTCACAGAGACAAGGTTGAGATTCAACACTTGTAGAATCTATGATAACCCACTTCTAAATTAATACATCCCAGTTTCTAAACTGAGTCGGCTACACAGCAGACAAACACACTGTGCATTTGTGAGTGCTTAAAACCAGCTACCTACTGATCCAAGCCTTTAAATTGATCAGTTTGTCTGCTCTTAAACTATTTCATGATCAAGTTAATAGGATCAGGGCTCATGTCAGGGCTTCCTGTACTAACTAACCTCCTCTTGTTCCCTAGTACAATCCAGAGAGAAAAAAAAAATCTGTAAAGCTTCTTGAAGTCAGAAAGCAGGTAATCTGCTGGAATGTTAGAGCTAGTCCTGGGCAGAACATGGGTGAGAAAGTAAGCTCAGCTAACTGCTGTTTATTAACTCTGCCTGAACACATGAGAATATTTCATAGCTATCCAAGCTGCATATACAGACTTCTCAGATTCTGCACTCAGCTCCAGAAGAAGAGCCAACCAACATTAATGGACTAAGAAACAGTTAACTGGACCTATTTTCAAATAGTCAATTTCAGTTCTTCTCATATAATTAAATTTCTGAAATTCAATGGTAAAAAAATGAACCAGTGTTTTGAAGTTCCATTACATTAAAATGTAACAAGATCTATAAATGCATGAAGTTAGATAGTCTATAAAATAGAAACCAATTCTGCTTTAACTCATCACATGTATTTGCAGAACTGCTTGGTTCTAGTGGCCAAAACACTCTCTCCCTGTTAGTTGCAGACTGAACATTAAAGAACTTTAAAAGAACTTTTTTTTCAGCACCACACAAAGAGCTTTTAGTTGCTCTCTGCTTCAGTATTATGATGATCAGTCTGTTTCTAAAACCCTAGTAACCTGCAAAAATAATTTTGCCAACCCAAACTGAAGAGCTGACCCAACCCAACTGACACAATGTTAACATTGTACTATATTTGCAGAAATCATGTATGTCTAAATATAAAATACAGAAACAAACTATACTGCAATTAACTGATTTAAAACTTTTGGTACCTTTTTGTTGATCCATTCTGTTCACTGAAAGAATTCAAGATGTAAAGACTAAGTAGCCGACCAGTTCTAAGGTGTGTGAGCAAAGGCAACTATTTGAAACAGAGGGACAGTATGAAACTTGCAAATAAAGACTCCAAACAGCAACTGGCTCAGAGAACACTCATTTGAGCAGTGTTGATCAGAAAGTAACAGAAGTACGAAAGAATAAAGATATCAAACTAAATGCAATTGTGAGGACATTCTCTCTCTTCAGGGAAGACCTTAGATATGCAGCAGCTGCCAATGGGAACTTTACTGGCCAGCCAAAATGTAATGTATGACTGCAAGATTCAAGCTATCCATATGCATAACAGGGCCAGTGAAGAACACCTCACAGATGACAAGAAACAGAGAGCTAGCACAGCAAAGGGCAGCAGTCTTTCACAATCTGCATGAAATAGATGGTTCTCCTACTCATCACCCCTTGTATAGGCCTGATTATTGAGAGGGCTTCATGTTAAGACTAACCATGAGACTTGCTCTAGTTTGTTTAACCCCAAAGGCTCCCTTCTAGGGCTTAGTGACTTGTTCATGACTTTATGATAATTCCAAAGCAAGAGAAACTAACCTGAAGATGAGAAAGCAATGCATATACAACCCATATTTTTTCTTTTTTTTAAACAGAAGTATTAAAAACAAACCAAAACAAACCCCTCTCCATCACTTACCCTCTATCAAAAGGACAATTAGTGTCAAAACCAGGATACAATCTGGTATCCATACTGGGAAGGAAAAGAGGCTACAGTTCCAGAAGTCCTTCTGCCTGTGGCTTACACAACTAAATAATGTTTGGGAACAATGGTCCTGTCAGCGACATGTCAACAACACATTTATTTTAAAAAGGCTAAATTCAAGTTTTAAACATAAGTAACTGCAAATGAAAAAAAAACAACTTTGGTTGATTATCCATCTTGTTAAAAATGTCAAAGTTAGCAATCAACAGTTTCTCTGGGAAGTCTCCAGAAACAGACAGGTCAGTTCATTCCTAATTGGGAAGATCAGACACCTAGCAGTGACACTGAAAATGCTGCCATGCCAGCGTCACACATGCTCACAACATCTCAGCCAGCATTTGGGAGGCTAATGGTGCATACAAAGTCTGAACTAATCAGCCACAGCCAACTTAGGTTGCTGTGAACTCATTGAGACAAATAAATTAAAAAAAAGCAACAAGAAAAAAATAAAGCCAAGCACCTCTAGGGCCAGACCCTGAAGACACAGAAATCAAAGAATTTTTTTCTCCTCTCCCTATATACAAAATGCCATTTAGAGCTGATGTGGCCACTTCAGTATTGTGAGGAAATGTCTCTTATACTAAGCAGTCATAAGTGTGTTGTTCACAGATGCTGTGGCCTGTGTGCCACGGAGTGTCCCCTGGGGTGTGTCCCTCCCTCTGAGGCACATGGAGGGAGCTCAGTCTTCTGTTTCTTCATATGTGGTCTCGTCAAACGGCCGGTCCAGGAGCGGTACCAAACGGCGACGGGAATATTTCAGTTGCAAAAGGTCCCCAACTTCATTGATTTCTTTTAAAGCCTGACAAAGAGATCACAGTAGATCAGCAGAGGAGACAGATGCAAGTTATCCACACATGTTCCCTTATGCATGCCTGCAGACTACTCGGACAGCCATTTTACTTGAGATTTTACTCTGCTAGAAGTCAGTATCTCCAGAAGTGCATAGGGTTTTTTTTCATTTTAGAATTCGGAAATTTTGAGACCACATAAACAGCACTGGTCACTTAACTGAGAGTGCCTGTGCATCCACCTGACTACTCCAGCTCCACAAAAGGATTATAATATCCAGCAAACCCCATGACTATTCGTAGATAGAAAAACAGAATAATGTTCTTCCCTTCCTGGAGGTAATGAAGCTAAAATAGAAAAAAAATGTGCATTTTGTTTGAGGTTTCACTCCTCCTTGTGTATCATTCAATTTGAAAGCAACCTTTGTTACTGAAGCTGATCTGTATTTTTTAAATTGCAAAATAGCAAAGACAAACTGTAATAGTGAGCTAACAAGTTCTATAGATGCATTTGTTATAACTACAACATTTGGTTAATTTGCATTGTCCATATACAACTACAGATGAAAACTGTGTGTAATAAACAACATGGCACAGCAGATTTTTGCCAGACAATCCAAGGAAAGAAAAATAAAAAGTTATTCTGGGCAGGACTCTAAGCATTTTCTCCTTGGAAAGCAAGTCCCACTGAGGTTGCCACAAATGCTGCATTCAAGCAACTGATGGCCCAGAACATTCTACTGAATTAGCACAGCTTTTCACCATTTTGACCTGAACTCAAATATTATGAAGTTTACCAGAGATCAAACATCTGCTTGCGTAAGAAATGAGGGAAGTCCCAACTCAGTTAATCATGCTTCCATTATGTTGCAATCTCTGATAAGACATCTGTCCACACACAATAGGGTCTGTTAAAAGCCAAATCCTAAACTTCATTTCTCTACAGAACACTCCTAGAGCAAACTACAAAATAAATCAGTTGCTGCAGACAAATCTGTGATAGCATGTGATGCTAGTTATTTTATATAGGCAAGTGACAAAAATTAATTCAGAAGATCACTTTCAAGTCCAATATGATTTTTTTTTAATTTAAAGGTTGGCATTCTTTGCTGCCTTGATTTGTAAATTTATTGGGATAGGTACATTCAGCATTGCTTCAGAATGTCATTAATTCAACACTGAGGCTCCAATCTGCGTCAAATGCTTGTCTCTTGAGGACAGTTGGAAGATGGGGGTTAATAGTTCTACATGTTTTTTCTTCCTAGATGGATAGTTCAAGTTTTTGTTTCTTTAAACAATGGCCCTTCATGCTTGTTATATCTGGCAGCAAAAACCTCTGCACTCTAAAATCTGGGGGAACGACAAACCCAGAAGTTGGACCTCGGTAAAAACAAAACAAAACAAAACAAAGTGTGGGCACAGTCTGCCAGAGCCTTAAGTAAAGATCCCATATGGAAGCAATTTAAAGCTGAATTTCTGTTGAAAGAGTATGTTAACTGTTATTCTTGAATGCAGATTTAGGATTTTATTAATTTAAAACAAAAAGGACCATGTGACTAGCAAAGACTACAAAGGAAATGGCATTGGTGTACTCTGACTTTAGGAGAGTGTAATATATTTTTCATCACTGAAAAGAAAGCACAGCCCACAGCGATGCAGGTTATGAGGGACTCCACTCTGATCCTAAGCCAAATATTTTTAGGCAAGGAAGTTTTATTTACATAAAACAGTTAAAATTTTAACTAAGTACTGTTCCTCATCATGTGGGTGTATTTAATAAGAACAAGGAAGCATTACAAATATTATTATTTGCAAGAGAAGCCTCTCTTCCCTATGCTTCAAACCTGGTTAAGTTTTGCTTAAAAAAATACCACAAGAGCCCTAGTTAGCATCCATGAATACACAGATGGGATACCAAGTTGTGTCCTCTGTTGGTGACTTGAAGAAGCTGTCTGCCAGCTCTCCCCAAGTCCATTCATTTTAGTTCTTCCTCCTCCTGGATATTGCTGCCACAGTTAGCAAGAGGGATTAGACCTGAGGTCTGCCTTAATGATTAGCTGCCTGAAATCAATCCCTTTTCACTGCATCACAAGAAAACCCTGCACAAAGTCACTGACACAAAGACTTGCTCCTTATTAACTCTTCTTGCCAATGTTCTGGCTTTTGAGCATGCAGCTATTTTGAACCATAAAGGGGGTTACACTAACTTGGAAAAAAGCCTCCACATACTGAGCTAAATCAGGATTTCTTCATTCACTTCAAAATTCACACCTCATTTTGCTCTGGATTAATTTTCTTAGCAGACAAGCTCTAATATACTGAACTAGCATTTCCTCAATTTAGTACATTTAACACTTACAGAGGTACTCTAGCAATGAATCTTAGGTTAAGTGCACAAAATTTGAAACATTTTTTGGAAAATGCAGAAGGAATTGACAGGAAAAGAGGTTTTTAAAGCAGAGTAATAAAAGTTACAGATAGATTTTGGAAGAGCATAAATGTGGTATTTATACAGACCCTACAAAAGCAGCTTATTATGGCAAAGGCCCCAGCTAGTCACCAAAAGAGAAGACCAAGAACCTAACCAACTGTAAAATTGCACAACTGCTCAGGTAGTGCCTGCACATCAAGTTTGTACAGTTTCAGTTTTAGAAAGAGTATGCCAATTATGCAATATTATTTAGAAAGAGTATGTCAATTTGCAGCAATATTATTTCAGAGACTTCAGTTTCCTTTATTTTCCTTCCTCCCATCTCTTATCCATTCATACCCACTCCATGCCCACCTGTCCCAGAAGTTACTGCTCCCTCATTTGTGTCAATGAACTCAGGTCTATTACCACACTCTGAGCCAAGTCTGATACTATTTATTTTATACAGGGCAAAAGGAAGCAAAGGAGAGGGTCTTGTCTGAAAGTACTGGTTCCAAACCTTTATTTAGAACAGAAACAACTAAATTGAGATATTTAAGGGAAGAGTAGCAGGACAAGTAGCTGGGAAGGAATTCCTTAAGCAGTCTGTTGTTGGAGTGTTAGAGAATCTCTCACAAGCAGAAACAGCTCAGGAGCAGCAAGTACAGCACTGCAGACACACGGCAGGGTGATACTACTCAATGACACTACACATACATTACAAAACTGCTCACACCACACACTATCTTACTATTTTTTTAACAGAAATTAAATTTCAAAAGCCTGTAATTTTAAGCTGTTGATTTGTATGTAAGTTCTGTAGCAATCAAGTGTGAAAAGGCGGAGTCTTTTTTTATAAGACATTAGTAAATATCTGTTAGATATTCTATTTGCTGTTCACATATTGAAGTGTTACCACCTGATCATATTTGGACATGGGGCATGATTTCCCCTTCCTAACTCTGTGACTACTCCCACTCACCTTGTCCACAAAATGTTCAAAAATAGTTTCAAGATTTTTTTCTCCACAATCTTCTCAAGATAAAGGCAAGGCTTTTCAACCTGCAGTTCCTTACACTTTTTTGCCCTTCTTCAAGAAGAAGGTGACATTGGCTGTCTTCCAGTTCTCAGGAGCCTCCCCCAGCCACCATGAACTCTTTCTCCAAAGATGATAATCAAGAGTGGCTTTGCAGTGACAGCCAACTCCCCCAACACTTGTGGATGTAGCTCATCAGGTCCCATGGACTGGTGCATGTTGATTTTGCCTAAATGTTCCCTTATTGGAGCTTCCTTCACACCAAAGGTAAGTCTTTACTGCTCCATACTTTTCCACTAATCTCATGGTGTCAGGATTCCTAAGTCTCACCAGGAGACTGAGACAACAAAGGCACTGAGTACCCTTGCCTCTTGCATGCATTTCTCACCTGATTTTCCTGTGCCATTCAGCAGCAGTCCTCCACATTTTCTCTACTCTTTCTCTTGCTACTAATGCCTCATAAAAGCTCTGCCTGCTGCATTTTACGTCCTTTGACAGACTGACTTCCAGGTGAGCTTTGGTTTTCCTGACCCCATCCCTGGTCACCTGTCTCTTACACACTTTCATTATATATTTTTGTTGGTTTGTTCATCCATGCAGGCTTCCCACCACATTTCCTCTCCTTTAAATCAGGACAGATCATTCTTCAGGGAAGGAGTGGGGAGGAAAAATCAATTAACTGTCCTGGACACCTCTGCTCTTTGAGACTGTGTCCTATGGGATTCTTTCAAGTAGGTCTCTGAACAGGATAGAGTCTACTCCCATGAAGTCCAAATTCACGACTAGTTTATATTCTGAGTCACAGACCCTGAAAGTGGGGGAAAAAGTGCAATGCAGAACTTTGGCAGTGCCTAAGACAGCCTATGTACATATGTCCATGAAAAAAGATTATTCAGAAGACTCAAAATTGAATGTAGCTACCACAGCAAGACATACTTAGAACAGTGAGACATATTCATATAATCCTTGTTCAACTCTGTTAGTCAGAGAGTAACCACCATCCTTACTTTTTGAAGGCAGCATCTCCCAGCTGTGATGCAGGCCTCCTTCGAGGGGACCTCCATTCCCCCTGCAAGTGCCAGTAAGGGTAAGTAAGGCACTGCATGTGGTACAGACTCACTAGGGCAGGGTCATTTAAGATACAGTGCTCTGAAGCTTTAAGCAAGAACAGCAATAGCAATCCCTGGAATAAAAATTCTCACTAGTAATCATGTGCTTTGTTTTGAGAGGAATATAAATGTTTTGGAGATTCTCAGGCCTTTTTATTTTTTTCCTCCTTACCATTAACATCTAGGGTCAGAAGATGCAAAATGTTTCCTTCTAACCAGTTCAATGCAAGGTATAGCCTTTAAAGAGGGTAAAAAGCATTGTCTCACAGGAATGAGACTGTCTCCTTTAAAAATAGCACAAGAAAAGTCCTGAGATTTACTCTAAACAGGCATTCCACACTGCTAAAGCAAGGAAAGAGATGGAGTCATTGCCAGCTGTATCGCAAAGGGCTTTGAAGGTAAGGTTCAACCATGCTGTGTACCAAACATTGAACCAGTGCACAAAACCCAGACAATCGTTGTATCTGTTTATTAGCAGGCACGAGCAGAAGGAAGACAAGATGAGACACTTACTGTATCAAGCATCTCTTTGGTATGAGCTGCAGACAAACAGAACCTGGCTCTGGACTCGATGATGGGGGTGGCAGGGAAGCCCACAACCACAACACCGATGTTCCGCTTCAGCATCTCACGGCCAAACGCGCTGCCAGGGGGAAGGAGACAGTCACAGTCATTCCAGGGCTGGCAAAGCAGGGGCTGAAGCCTCGCTATGGGAACCCATACAGGCCTCTGCTGCAGCAAGGCTGTCACACCACGCCTTAGAGCTTCCAGTGCTTTCTTTTTAGAGGCAGAAAGGCCTGCTCACAAAAGCCTTTTTTAAATTCAATCCCAAGGTGGTCCTTCTCAAAAGGTTTCAGTGTATTAAGTTCTAACAAAGATGAAAGATTATATGTGGCAGAGACTGGTCTTTTAGCAGGCTGTTTCTAAATGGATTTGTAACCTAAGCTTGGAAATATTTCCAAAAGGAAAGAGTGATTTTGGCTCAGAAGTTTGACTATACAAGGAACCCCTCATGCTGCAATGCCCCAAAGCGGATGTTTCTTCAATTTCAAGATATTTTGTTTTCATGAATTTAATTCTATTAAAGTACATTACTGCATCACAGAAGGCACCACTTTATAAGTATCATGGGAACCAGTGAATCACCACAGTAAATTGAGATAATCTAATATGATACCTAATATTTTTAAGGAAGGTGCAAAAATATCATGCAACTGTCACTCACTATCTTCAACAAAACAAGCTGTCAAGGAGACTAGAGAAAGTAGTGGCTGTGACTCATACAATGAGAGGCACAAAGATCTCAATCGGATCTGTAATGGCAGTACAGTTGGGGGTGTTTCTACAGGTCACAGGAAATGGTTAATCCTTTTTAACAGACCTTGTTGTGAGAAGTAGCAATGAACTTAAGAGGTTTATAAGAGCATATAAAATAACATTATTTACTAGGTCTTTATATTTTCTGCCACAACTGTTTTCCTTATAAATAGGTGCATCCTGATACACTTCATTTTGTATCCATTTATTACTCTCAAGCTATTTTAAAAACAGGCTACAAGGGACAAAGAAAAGATCAAATAAATCCAATGCAGATCCTAAGGGCCAACTGTCATCACAGTTCTCTGTTCTTGCTCATTTTAAGTAAGATACTGGCCCAGCTCCTCAGCTAATAAATATTTCCATGAACACTTCCAAGGAAAAGATTTTATTGACTGGTAGAGAAGCTGGGCAGTGGAAACAGCTGCCTCTGTGTGCTGGACATGTAGTCTGCAGCACCCATAAAGGTAACAGGCCTTTTAAAACTCTGTTACACTGAGAAGGGTGGAGAAGGAGGGTATCTAGCTTCACAAAAAGTGCCAGACTGAAATCTGAGCTAGTCAAGTACCAGAGATGTTGAGTACAGCATAAAATGAAATTATGTGTTCCAAATTTGAAAGTGTTGATGGAGCACTGCATTATACAGAGACTGAAAAGTAGCGATCAACGCTAAGCTGTCCTTGAAATCAGGTTCTTGTTTATTTTGAAAATTTTTTCTATATATACTTTATGTATCCTCCTTGAAGAATTTTAGCCTTAATTATCCACACAGCACCCCACAAAGCTGCAAGAATTTATAAACTTAAGTGCTACAGTTGTTTTAGTATTTACAATACCAATGCCTGAGTGATTATATCTAGGCCTCTTAAAACCTAGGAATTTATTAAATGCATGTTGTTGTGTCCCATTATGCTCCATTCCCACTGTTTTTCTTTTTCTAATTTTCAAAGTTCATCAATGAAAATGTTGGCTTCTTTCTGATCCTGAGAAGCTAGCTGAAAGACTTCCTCCAATTACTTTTAATTTTAATTTCCATTCAATTTCAGCTTCTCTTTAGTGTATTTATATACTTTACATATAAATATAATAGAAACACACAACCCAACCTTTAAAACGTGACAGAGGCAAAATTGCTTCCCTGAAGTGCTTTCTTGATGCCCCCCAAGCTACAAGCCTCAATTTTCTCAAGATCACTTAGAGAAGTTTCCATATTTTACAGGACTCAGTAATGATCATAAAAGCAAAAATCAAACAATTTTTTTCTTATATTTAGAAAACTCTTCATACATATTCTTATACCAACCTAGCTTTTAAGAAGATGGCTAAGAAGTTATGCAGTCAAACGTACCCAATTTTTGCTGGCATGTACAGCATCAGAGGCACAACAGGGGAATCTTCATTTCCATAGATGATAAAGCCCATCTCTTTCAGTCGTCTCCTGAAATATCTCGTGTTCTCTGCTAGCTGCTGCACACGTGCTCTCCCTAGAAAACAATTGAAGGTCAGACTGAACTCAGTTGCCAAAAGTCACATCCATGACTGCAACACAAGACCTCAAACTAAAGTACAAGACATTACTTCCATAAGTACAAGACACTTCGTGCTTGTGCTTATGGAAGTGTTAAAAATAAATGCAAATTGGGATTTGTACTTTCTTCTCTTTCATGTAACCAAGATTAATCATGCATTTTCTGACAAGACTTAATGGACCAGGAAAGGCACAACTATCAAGTCCAAGCACTGCCTAGTTTTTTCATATCAGACTTTCTTTCAGTCAAGAGGTACCTGGCAAAAAAAGGGAAGTTACCTCCTTTTAAACAAGATTCAAAGTTTTCTCAGAATTCACTAGTAAGTGCATCTTGAAGAGTTTGCTTATACTATGAGTAATTAATGGAAAATCTATTGAATCAGCTGGTGTTGTTCACCATGTTTTATCCTGCTTGCCTGCATTATTGTAAATTACTACTTTCCTCTTTAGATCTCTTTGCTGAACTATCACGTGGCTGCTCCCTAACCTTTTTCAGTTAAAATGAGCTGGGTTTAAATTAAACCGATTACTTCTGATAATCCAGCTCACTTCAGTTAAGTGGCAGCAGCCAATTTATTATGTATTCAGCCATTTCTGTAGGGATTCTTTGATATTTGTCAAAATTAGTAGACATTAGACAGCTAGTACAATTTAAATATTTCAAATGTTCAGATATATGTACAGAACAACCTATTTATCAGTTAATTACATTCCAGCCTAGCACACTGCTATGTTCCTCTATTGCCCAGAAAAAGGTTCACATCATCTCACTTAAGCAGATCATAATACATTTCTGATCAACTAATTCTCTAATGTGCTTATGAGATTAAGCACTATTCCTTTGATGAGACTATAATAGTAACACTTCACTTGTCTCTGGTCCACAAAGTATATTTCTGGATAATTGATTACCCAAACACTGCCTTGCCCAGGCAGGTGATTGATAAACTGAACCATTAAATGCACAGCATGCAGATCTGTGCCACACAGTGAAGGAGGCTGCTAGACATTCATCGTCTTCCTTTCAAGTTGTAGATAACATAAGGTGATTAACTAACAGGAATGCCAGGTCTCAAAGAAACATCCAACACCCACACAGCTCTGCTCCAGGCCAGAACAAATGTAATTTTAAGAACCTATATAGTATATGTTGCCAAGAGTATCAGACATTCCACCCACAACCATGCAATCAAAAGCAAAACCCCATTAAAGGCATAGCATAAGGAAAAAAGGTGAAACCTGTTAAGTTTGCAAAACTTGGCCTATCATTAGTAGGTAGAAGCTGGTATTTTTAATAGCACTGACTGCCACTTCAGACATCTCTTCTTCTCCATTAACAGTATTATTTCTTAATCTTTTCTCTCCCAGAGTTTCTCCAGAAGCTTAGTTCCTCTTCCCCAAAAAGCAGTAAGATTTCAGTAGAACACAAAGGCTTCTTGAACTTATAAAACTACATTTTTAATTTATTCACATCAGATCCTCTGCTGCAGACCCAGCTTTCTCTTATGTTTTCAGACCAATTATTTGGTCATTTTAAATAACCCAGACTGCAAAATGAAATTTAGAAGAAGAAACAAACTCAATAAAATTAAAAGAACCAAGCTAACTGCAAGATACTAAAAATAGTGGGCCTAAAGCCACTACTTGTATTTCTAATATCGAGGCAATCAATAAATACACAAGTGTCCACAGCAAACTACATGCAGAAAAAAAGCTATTTTGGCATCTTCTGAGAAAGCTGCATCTGCACATCTCCTACCCAGTAATGCAACAACTTCTGATATGTCAGGTCAGTGATGTACAATTGCATCAAAATACAAATCAGATTTCACGAGTAGTAAGGTAACGTACATAGCTACTGTGATCAGCCCCTCTCCCAGGACAAGGAATGCAGCTTTTGCCATACATACATCTCCTCTGTGTTCCCATAAAACATGGAGTTTACAGTGTTGAAGCTGAAGGAATTTCATCACCTGTATGGTTTTCCCCTCTACATATTCACACCCTTTTCCATGTTGTTGGAAGCCTTCCAGACTAAAGATTAAAGAGCAATCTTAATTTGTAGTTGGCAACTGCTTCACAGTCTTCCCTAAACTCCTACCAACAAAACCAGGATATGATTCTAGATTTGTCCTTATAGATTGAAGACTGCTTCGCGATGTAAACAAGTCTCAAGAACCAGTCTTTCAGTTCTCTACAGAGATGTAATCACCTCTTAAAAGCAACTGACAGGTCTGGAAGATGTCACTTTCTTTAGGTTTGTGGGTCTCAAAAGTCTATCAGCTTTTACTTCACCCTAGAGCCATTGAGTAATTTAATGAAATTGTTACTCATTTAAAAACTTGTGGCTACAATAATATTACCAAGAACTTGAAAATATATTCAGTGGCATCTCTACCCAATGGCTCACTACCCATCACGTGTCATTACCATCTGAAGAGAATTGTAGTTGTGGTGAAGTAAAGAACCAGGAATCAAACAAAAATTGAGCACAGGTTCTTTGTCCTCTGCTCGCCTTTCTCCCTGCATTCTGTGCAAGTACTCTTCTCTGTACTTCAACTTGTTTAGTCTCCTACTCCACTATAAAATCCTACACTTGGAAGTGTGATTCCATGCTAATTGAATAGGGTTTGTTGTATTATGCAACAAGCATATATCCAGTGTTTGGATCTACCAATATTTGCTGGTTCAGCCCCATTGGTACCCCAGGTGTAGCAGGCTGTTAACTGCTAGTACAGCTCCCCCATGTTTTCTGGTGGAAAGACAAAGACAAACCAAGCAGTGCTGGAAAGAGCAGTGAGTAGGTATCATTGCTAATCCCACTCACAACCCAAACAGTGCTTGAACACTCAAACAGGACCTCTAAATTCCTTCCCAGCCCAAGCATCTCCTGAAAGTTAGAGCTTTTTCCACAACTGCTCAACTGTAGGCCTAGAAAAATTGTCAGGACTGCATAAACTCTCCAGTAACTGGATTTTTTGGCAGTATGTAGCTGCATTTTTAAGACCACGTAAAAAAAGGCCAGATCAGACACCACCCTGCCAACTGTTCTTGCATAGAAGTTGTGCAATGATTTTGGTAACGTCCTTTTATCCAGGAAACTGGAATGTGATGACCTTCAGCAAAGGAAGGAAAGGGGGAAAAAAGGGATGATTACTGGAACTGAGTTCTTCCAAAGGTTAAAAAAATTAGAACTGTTTATCAGATCAACTTATGTCACGTCCCTCCTGGGTCCTGTAAATGGCTTAAACTAGCTTCTGACAGAACAACATTGAAATTAGAGGATAACTAATAACTTTCCTGTACTTCTATATCCTTTTGCAAATTTACTAGAGTCATATCCAAATTGCTCTTACAATTTAGTAAAACACTTCCTTGCTTGTAGTAGCCTGGTCATCGTTTAGTCTCAAGTGCACATGTATCTCCTAAAGAACATGCTGCCATTGTATCAGAAGTAAAGGTCACATACCATCTAAAGGGGAAGAAACACTCTCCTGTCACAAATAAACAATGTAAGATGTATTCTTGAAAAAATGCAGCTAGCATGCATCTTAAGAAAAAAATAAATTCCAACACCCTAGAGAAAGTACTCCACAATGAAAGCACATGAGATGCATATTCCTTGCAACCACTGGAAGTAAATTAGTGTCTTTGCCAGAACAGGTTCCCACAGGCTAAAACAACGACCCTGAAATTAGCTCAGATGATTAGAGCATGGTGCCAATAATACCATGGTTGGGGGACAATCCAATATCTGTATGGGCCATTCATGTAAGAGTTGGACTTCACGCTCCTTGTGGGTCCCTTCCAGCTCAGGATATACAGTGGTTCTGTGAATAATTCATCACTTGCGAAGGTGTCTGCCTTAGAGGTCATAATGCTCAGAAAGGCAGAAGTTATAGTGAAAACAGGAAGCAGAGAAGGCAAAGTTACTGAATGCCTTCTTTCCATCGGTCTTCACTAACAAGACCGTACCTCAGGAATCTCTGACCCTGGTCTGAAGACCAGGAAGGGTAAAGGAGTATTGTAAAGATGACTCTCCCCTGGTGAAGGGGGATTGAAAAAACCTAAGGAGATTGAAAAAACCTATGGAGACCTGACATCCACAAGTCCATAGGCCCTGAGAGGATGCATCCACAACTGTGGAGAGAGCTGGTGGACACCACAGCAAGGCAGCTCATGATCATCTTTGAAAGGTCCTGGTGATCAGGAGAGGTACCTGAAGACTGGAAGAAAGCAAATGTCCCCCTGGTCTTCAAAAAGGCAAGAAGGAGAGCCCAGGAAACTACCAGCTAGTCAGCCTCACCTCCATCCCAGGAAAGGTGAGGGAGCACCTCATTCTGGAGACCATCTCCATCCACATGGATGACCAGAAGGTGATCAGGAATAGTCAGTATGGATTCACTAAAGGTAAATCACTTTTGACGAACTCGATTGACTTCTGTGATGAATCAACTGCCTGGATGCATGTGGGGAGAAAGGGTATTGTCTACGTAGACTTCAGCAAGACTTTTGACACCATCTCTCACAGGCAAATTCAGGAAGTGTGGAATGCATGAGTGGACAGTGAGGTGGACTGAGAACTGGCTGAACAGCAGACCCCAGAGGGTTGTAATTGGTGGCAGAAGGTCTAGCTGGATACCTGTCACTAATGGTGTCCCCCAAGGTCCACTACTGGGCACAGTATTGTTTAACTCGTTCATCGGTGACTTGGATGGAAGACATAAGATACCTCATCAGCAAGTTCACTGATGACATGAAAGAGTGGCCAATACCACAGAGGGCTGTGGAGCCCTTCAGAAGGACCTCAAGATGTTGGAGAGATGGCCAGAGAAGAACTGTCTGAAAGGCAAACGCAGAGTCCTGCATCTGAGGAAGAATAACCCCATGAGAAGAAATTCTTTATTGTGCAGATGTGTGAACACTGTAACGGATTGCCCAGAGAGGTTGCGGATT